AATCTAGTAAGTATAGAATAGAAAAAAAAAAAAAAGAATGACATCAGAACTGTAGTAAAACTAGTATGATGGCAGGCTATAGGAGGAGAATGTTTATACTGGAGATATTCCGCTTCTTATGAATACCTGAATGTCATTTCTGTTAAAATACAATTTCCTTTGGGTTGGTTTTTTGGTTTGGTTTTTTTTTTTTTTTTTTTTTTTACTATTGAAGTTAAAAATAAATTTACTGAAAAGTTAATTTTCAATCTTGCACCAAGTTAACTTTTATTCTCAGTATTTAGACTATCACTGGCCAGCTTAAATATCTGTGACTAGAATTACTTAAACAGAAGCTGGTTTTATACACTTTTTTATGGTGATGTTTTTCTTTTACTCACATTTTATTGTATTACATGTCAAAATTACTCTGATTTAAAATATTTGCTATTACTTTCCTTAAAAGCACAGTTATTGGAAGAGAAGATGATAGCTACCACAAGATAATAAAACTATTCTGGGTTGTAGTCAGGGACTCTGCCACTTTTTCTGTTGAAGCTGAACCACCACACCTAAATGTTTAAATTTATAGGGCTAGAAATACAGTATCAGAAAGAAGCTTAACACTAGTTCTGTTAGGACAGAATTGTAGGAATGAAGTAGAGTGGGAAAGTTGTGTTCCCAGTCATGTTCTGTGTGTTTTGTCTAGCAGCTGTTCAATACGAAAGTGCTCTGTGTAGTAAAGATCAGAGTAAAGGTCTTTCCCATGCTGATGAATGCTTCCATAGGTAGCTACAGGTGCGCTTCTATCTGTACTTGCTTGTCATTACTTTTCTCTGACCCAGTGAATCTTGTTACACAATGTGACGATTCAGAAGAGCACTGCATCCCAGCCTAACCTCTAGCTCAGGGCTTAGAAGCATTTCTTGAAAGGTGGGAGGTAAGAGTTTGAATGCTTTTTAGGTTGACAAGTGTGATCAGCTATCATCTCATTTTAGAGAACCGAATACGCACTTGCTAGGTTCTACTGAAGCTGCACAACTGCTGCATAGCATTTTTTGAAAGAAACGTATGAGCCAAAGGGTTGATTTAGGAACTGTGTGAAGAGCATAAATTACTAGAATACCTGGGTTTCACAAACATTGGATTTGTCTTCAAAAAAATAGTGAAATATTATCACACTTATTTTACAGAGATGAATTGGGATGTAGAGATTAAGCCAAAAATGAATGTGCTCCTCCCCAAATTAAACTGAGAACCTGGAATGGAAAATTAATTTTTATTGGATAAGTTTGGAAAATTTCTGTAAGCCACTAGATTATGATGGAAAATTTTCAGCTTCACTAACCGTCTCTCTGTGATATGTTCTCTTGATTAAAACATGGAGCCATGTTTCTTCTTGGCTCAGAAATTATTGGAAGGCATTGTAGGTCTGTGATTCAGAGCATTTTGTGGTCTTGATTCTTGCTGTCCTTGACTTTGCCTCTTTGTGCCTACTTCCATGAAAGGGAGGGAGGAGCGTAGGCATGAAGAGGAAAAGAAAAGTGACAGTAAGGCAATTTGGGGTCAGAAAGAGAAAAGATGGTGAGTGATAGAAAGCATAGTCCTGTCTGCTGCCTATACCTCTCTGCCAAAGACTGATCTTGGTATATGCAGCACTGATGCAGGCATCCAAAACCCTGCAATTGCAGAGCTTGTGAAGGGGAATAATTGCTTGCAACAGAAGTTTCATTAATCTATTATTTTACTAGGTCCCTATGTGTCAGTTGTGCGGAGTCCAGAGGACTTATGCTATGTACCAAACACCTGAATTTTAGAGTTGATTTTATTCCCTCCAGTATTTTCCTCATTCATTTTTTTTTTTTTTCTGTTTAAGTTCTTATATCTAACAAAGTTATGTAGTGTGTTAAGAAGCATGATGTATTTGTCCTGTTTTGGTCATTCCCACAGTTCCAAAGGGAATGGACATGTGTACAATAGCTATGAGGAATAAGATTTGAATCTTTCATGATACAAACACCTAAAAAGTGTCATGGCATTACTGAGTATTGTGATACAATTGAACATTTTTGACAAGAGGTCCACAGGATTTTGGGGGCTGTTTGGTAAGAATGATTTCTCCCTGTTTTCACGAATACTTGCTTTCTTCAGTCAGATGCGGAGGAGCATCCTGCTCTGGAGACTGCAATGCAGCTTGTAATGCTTCTTGCTCTCCTCTCACTCAGTGTACTCCTTTCCTTTCTGGAGTCTCCGTGGAACATGGACTTCTACAGCATCTCATGTCTCATTTTCTTGAGACTTGCAGATTCCCATTAATTATGTGAGCATGACCGCTGTAGTCTGCTCTGGCACTGTGGTGGTAGTGGTGAAGTACAACCTGACTGCAGTCTTTACACCTCATCCTTGCTGGAGTAAAAAGGTCATCACTAGCACTCTCTGTTCTCGGAAGGAACTCCTGTGGGAAGTCTGGACAGTAGGGCCAGGTGGTACACAGTGTGACAAAGCTTGGCTATGAAGAAGAGAGCATAATGTTACAGGTACTGAGATAACACACAGGTGTCAGCATCTGATAATTTTGATACCAGTTGAGTCATAGTGTAGTATCATCAGAGTGAAGAATGGAGAGCCGGTATGGAAGGAGGAGAATGGATGGATGTAGCCCTATAAAATAAAGGAAACTTTGAAGGGTGCTATTATGTTAGAACTCTGAAACCTTCTCTGTTTAAGCCTAATTACTTGGCAATATTGTAATCTGTTTAGGATGTGAAGTAAATAACCAACACCACCTCTTAATATTTTTATGTCAATAAAGAGGAATCTTATGACTAACTGGAGGTGTTTACAAACAGCAGTTGCAGCATTTCTGTATGAAAACAGCAAGAACTTGAGTAGTCCTGTGCACAGACTGAATTTACTAATATATGGTCTTCTGCTTTCCATTAGAGAAAATAATTTAATGTCTACAGACACATCCGAATCCTTTCTTTTGTGTCATTATATCACTTTTATCTTGTTTGGGTTCCCCTTACCTATCTGTTCCCCTGTGAACTCATCATGTCTCAAGTAGTATCAGTCACAGTAGCTGTGCTATGGCCATGTTTTAAAACAAAACAAAAAAAAATTCTGCTTTTGTATTACTGGCAATCAAATACTCATTATTATGACCAGTTTCCTGAGATGTTTAAAAAGTAGGGAGGAGGGTCTTACTTTTTAAGGCAGAATTTCCAATTAACAAGCATTTACTGTATCCTTTTAAGAAGGACGCAATGATTTTAACACATTACTGGGGACTCTTCTACTTTCCCAGTTAGTATGGCAATACCTGTGTGGAATGCTACAAAAGAGCCAGAGGTTAGAAATGGATGCCTATGTTTCTGTCTGTTTTTAGGTACTTCATTTATGCCAGTAGATGGTTTTAATTCCATATCCTGGACTTAATCCAGAATATGTGAGGTATATAAATGGGATGCAATTAAGTAGATTTACAGTTGGCCGCTTGGTTTGCCTCTCAGCGAATATGGTCATGAATGGGATATTTGCCACTGAGGGCTATCCAGTGTTTCTTCAGTGCTGGTTTGGAAATAGAAAATCTTTGGAGTTGGCTGATAAGATTTGTTTTGAATGAGGCATTAAGTGTTTTTCAGGACCTGTGTTGGTCCATGAATCTTTTCATAAATTGGGAAGACTGTCAGTTGAGTCCACAAGTTTTTCGGACATCTGTCTTGCAACAGTTTGCCATCTGCCAGGGGAAGCTCACTGCCTTGGGTCTGAATGACTAGAGTCATTTTAGGGTAATATCAACAAAAAACTTAAGACAAGTTACAGAGTAATACATTGTTGCAATAGTGCCTATACACAGTTTGGTTTAGTTTATGTTAGGCTGTGCTCTGAATTCCATGTTCATAGTCTTAACTGCAGAGTTTTAGTAAAGACAATGGAACATTTTAATTTTTTATTGAAACTGTAAAGTTTGGATTATCATCTTTGACTATTTTTTGCATGCTTTACAATTTATTATTTCTTTTGAGATATACAATTTATTTATAATGTACCAAATAAGACTGCATATTTTCTACGTTATATGTTTTTTCTGATATGCCTTGCATATGCATACTGTCTGACTGTATCCTGCAAATAATTGTTATTTTTACTAGATAAGGCATAGTCCAAAACAATCCTATGTGCCTGCACATGGCTCTCACAAGTGTTTCTTATGTGGAGGACATATACTATAGGATTTATTTTAAAACATTTTCTGTTTTGTTAATGTAAGATAATTTAATATCACAATCCAACCATTTTCATAGTATCAGTATGTCTATGACTTTCACTGAATTTTGGTTTGGTTTCTTAATGCAGTTTTGCATTGGCACTTTTTCATTATTTGAGGCTGTACCAATAAGAATATAACTATTTTGCTAGTAAATTTAATTTACACCTTGGAAAACAGTTTTTCCTTTTTCTGTTGAGCAGCAAAGGCAGGCAGTATGCTTTTTCTCATTGATGATACCCGCATCACTTGTGATATTATTGATTTGTTATTGAATTCTGTGCTGTGCAATTAAAAACTGCAAAGACCTATGTAGAAACTGAAAAAAATTACTTAATGTAGCAATAAACATAAGAGTTTTCAAGTTTAGAAAGCAAGGTTTTAGATTCTACATATTTCTACTTAAAAGAAAGGGTTTAAATTCTGAAGAACACCCTTAAAAATATATTTTAAAAGGGTAATTTTTTACCTGCCTGCTTGAAATATACCTAATGTTTAATTATTCAAGGGGAAAAGATTGCATTACTCTTTCTAAATATTTTTTTTATTTGAGTTACCTTAAGCATTTCTAAATTATCCTGAATTATAGAAATCAGTTCTAAGATGCTGATGACTTTTATATGTTTAGCTATTATGAAAATTTTCTAACTTCTCTGTAAGCTGATTCTTTAGTCCTCCTATACTATAACTTAGTGCTTCTAGAATGTGATGTATTTCTTTAAAGTGAAAATATAATCTCATTGGTTTTTAGGCTTACATATATGAAATGCGTTCAAGCACTTTTTTACATAAACTGGGGGGACACAAAGAATCTGTCATCAACGTGACTTTTAGTCCCTCATCTCCACAGGTAAGTCATTGCTTTTTTCCCTCTTTGTAATTAAAATATATAAAATCTTCACTGTAAGCTTCCTTTTCACTACTCTTCTATTTACCTGCCAATATGGTGTGTAGCTGTAAGGCTGTTCATCTACTTCCAACTATAGTGTGGTTATTGTGTCAATTATAAACTCATGCAAAATGCTGCATGCTGCAGAGACAAATGCTCTGACTAACTGCCTACAAAGAAGAGTTCTGGCACAGGAGCTATTGTGAACCTGTACTGGTTGAATGTTGGCAAAATGTACATCCTCTTCAAATTACCTGAGTAGATTACTCTGAATTCAGAGAATTTAAGAGGGAAATAAGTAGGGGCAGGGAAATGGCAAGGGGCTCAGGCCTGCTGTAATTACTTGATGGCCTGAAAGATTTAAAATGCAATGCTATTTTAAATGTGCTGTGTCAGAATAAATAGTGAAATAGCTTTATCACAATGTTTTGAAAAACTATTACTGTAGTAAGTAAAGTAAAGTAAGTAAGTAAAAAGTACTCTGCAGAATTTAGGCATTAGGCAATGACAGTTCCTATTTTTTTTACTGATCATTAATACTATGTTGTGTTAACAGCATTACATTTCAATGTAATGGTTTAATTATAGTGCAGCAATATATACACAGAAGTCTGTTTTCTGTTTTATCAGAGCTTTCCTGCAGCTAGTTTATCACCTGAATTCTTTGCATACTCTTTTGAATCCTATAGACTTACCTTCTTTGTTTTCATGTATTGAAACTGCATTGAAGTGTTCTACTTTCTACACTTCTTACTTTGAAGAGACAATGGTCACTATATATATAGAAGAGTGCACAGTAGCTCCTCTTTACTTCACTACCTCCTCAACACTGGCTGTACTTGCTACTATTAAAAAATATTTATGGAGTAAGTTTAATTTCTTTACATGTGGGAGTGTTGTCATATTTACATATCTCCTTCCATTTGTAAATAAAGATGCTAGCATTTCTGTGATTTTAGAATTTCTGGAAGTTTTATTCCTTGTGTATATGTTGTTTGAACTGAGAAATTGTTAATTGCTATCTTGTGGTGAACATTATGTATTTCTGCTCTTTGTATTCAGCAATGCTATGTTCAACAAAATGGTATAGTTTATTAAATTTTGCATCCAGATTAAGACTAGTTTCAGGTTTAACACTGAACACAGTCCTCAAAAAAAGATGTTATATACTGAAGAATAGAGCTGACTGTAGTCTTGCAGCTCTGTGGTCCAGCTGTTGGAATGCATTTTGGTGGAAAATGTCTTATTAGAGTTTAATCGTTAAAAATCCCGAGGCTCAGTCGCAATAATGCTATGAATAAAGACTTTGAAGTAACTAAGTTCAGGCAAATCAGTTGATCGGGGGGCAGAATCGGTAAATGGTGTAAAATAAACATCGGCTGTGGATCCACGCCAGACTGGTCTAACTCTGAAAGTGTGTCTTGGGGCACAAAGCCTTTGATACTGAACTTTATGAAACATGACACAGTCAATTTAGTATTACGGTTAAGAACCAAATCTGAAGTTCAGGGACCACAAACCCTTTTCTTGAAGAGCTCTTTCATGAGAAGCAAGAGCTGTGGATTTGAACCAGCTTACAAATCTCCCCATAGATATGGTTCTGGGGGAAGATTTTGAAGCTGATGTTATCAGGAACACTTTACTAAAAAGCAAGGTATGTGCAGAAACTGATCCTTTGAAGGATTACAGCTGAAATGTAAATTCTGTTAACCAAGTCATTCTGCATAATAAGCACTCTGAAATGCTTTCTAAATAAGTATTTTGGGGGGAGCTGCAGAATCAAAAAAAAAAAAATCACCTGGGGTTTCCAATATAGGATTTAGCATGAAGTTACATTGAAAGGCACTAGGAGAAGGCACTAGGAGAAGGTAAGAAATGCAATGGTAAGCTTGTGGAGTGGAAAAGAAAAAAAACCAACACAAATTAATCAGAAAAGAATAATCCCATGCCTTGAAAGAAAGCCTTTGTATTAGGCATCCAGTTTCCAACACCGGAAGATTTTTATACCTATCCCTACTAGTAGTTATGGATTTAAAATTGATGCTATTCTTGTTTCATCTGAAGTTTGAATGAATAAAGTTAATAATTATATTGAGTTCTGAATAACCTCTGCACAAAGCCCCATTGCATTCAAAGGGAAACACTGGCAGGGGAAGGAGTAAGGGGTGAAAAAAGGGAAGTGGCTGATGAGTGAAATTTGAACATTATGGCTAAGCTTTCTGCCGTGGAAAGATCCAGCCAGGAGTGAGGTGTAATGGCAGTAGTCCAGTTCAGTGGTTGCTTGCCCAGCACCTGTCCATGAGGTATTTTGTTCCAAGCATTATTATAACTCTCACTTGCATAAATGTTCTTCCAGAAAAGAGGGGAAAACCCTGGATGGGTATAATCGTCATTTTTTTACTGATGGGGAGCATTGTTGATTTCATCATATGGTACTCCAGAATGATTTACAAAATGGTTGCTATGAAAGCTGGAGAAGGGGAATATTTGGGGTCCTCACTACAAGAAGGACATTGAGGTGGTAGAGTGTGTTCAAAGAAGGGGAACGAAGCTGGTGAAGGGTCTAGAGCACAAGTCTTATGAGGAATGGCTGAGGGAACTGGAGTTGTTTAGTTTGGAGAAGAGGAGGCTGAGGGGAGACCTTATTGCTCTCTACAACTACCTGAAAGGAGGTTGTAGTGAGGTGGAGGTCAGTCTCTTCTCCCAAGTAACAAGTGATAGGACAAGAGGAAATGGCCTCAAGTTGTGCCAGGGGAGATTTAGATTGGATATTAGGAAAAATTTCTTCATGGGGAGAGGGGTTAGGCATTGGAACTGACTGCCCAGGGAAGTGGTACAATCACAGTCCCTGGAAGTATTCAAAAAACATGTGGATGTGGTGCTTAGGGACACGGTTTAGAGGTGGACCAGGCAGTTAGGTTAACAGGTTGGACTCGATGATCTCAGAGGTCCTTTCCAACCTTAATGATTCTCTTACCAAAAATATTAATTGAATTCCAATCTATTTTAGGGAATGTACATTAAAAGATTTTATAGTGTTTAACTATAATAACTATAGCGATTAACTATACCACATTTGAGTCAAACTAAGCTAAAATAGCATGGGAGTCTTATCTTCCAAATATGGGAACAATAAATCATGTCTCTGAAATGTTTTTGAAGCACAATAAAAGCAAATGGGGACACTATTGTCATCTGCTGGTTTTTGGTGGCTTTTGCACAGTTGAATGTTGGCTTCATCTTTGTACAAGCTGCGTGAACACTGTGGGGCAAAACCATCCACGTACACTCTAGCATATTATTGTCCTCATCGGGAGTTGCTTTAAAAAAAAAAAAAAAGCAAGGAAGAAGAAAAGAAGCTCCAAACTCTGAGCCAATATACCGTGCTGGAAGTTATTTTTTCATGGCAAAATCATGGCTTTGAAATCAGTATGCATCGCTACCACCCTACTGATATACTGAGAGGTAGCTTTGAGAGAGAGAAACCCCCCCCCAGCCCAAACTACACTTTAATAGAACAAGCCCTGAGCAACCCGATCTGAGTTCAGCTTTGACTTTATTTTGAGTAGAAGGCTGGATGAGATGATTTCCTGAAGTCCTCATAAGGCTACCTGTCTGAAATATACGGATAATTAAACACAGGCTCAATAAGTCAATGTAGGGCATTTGGTGAAAAATAATCAAAAATAGAATTTGCATTGGATGAAATACGGCAAATCTGTTCTGTACTCTTTGTCTATAGATTTAAAGGAAGTAAATGACAGTTTGATGTGACCACCTGATGATATACTGAGAGATAGCTTCAAGAGAAAAAAAAACAAACCAAAACTAGACTATAATGGAAAAAGTCCTCAGCAACCTGGTCTGCGTTCAATGTTGACCCTACTTTGACTAGGTTCTATGATAAGATTTTCTGAAGTCCCTGCAAAATGAATTATTCTCTGATTTTGTGATAGTGCACACTCTCCAGAAATCTCTTGTCACCGAAGGCATGGCAATTTTAAATTGCCATGTAAAAAATATTAACAACTTTTAATTACCACATAAGTTCAACTTGTGGCCTGTTTATCAGTAAAATACCTAATTTACATTTGTGGAAGGTATTAATTCAAATTGTTACTTAATAGAATATTTTTTGCATTAATTTATAAGTCTGATTTTATGTTTAGAAGTACAGCTATATTTCAAATAACATTAGTTTCAGGTATTATTATATTGTGGCATGCTTAGGTGAGATAATAACTGACAATAAGTGCATTACTTGGCAGCTGGAGAAATTTAAATGAATAGTAGAGATCTGGAAATCTCTTTCACAGCTAGATTTGCATGGGAGCCACTGAAAATTTCATATTGATTTTCTGCTGACCTGCTTGAAGGGAGACATTTTTAATGTTCCCAGTAAGGACATTTGCTTGTGGGTCTCTCAGATAGTAACACAATTTGGCACTAAAGCCACCACTTTAGTCAGAATTGGCTACAGGTGGTTTTGGATGTGTCTGGAAATATGAGTTATCATCTTTTACTAGCTACTAAGAACGTATGCTTTTCCTGGTGGTCGCATCTGGAGATTACACTTTAGAACAACTTGTATGAAAACTCCATTCTTTTGCAATTTTTGTTCACCATTGATGGTTCATTTAATCATAAAATTTTCCACAATGGAGGTAGCTTTTGTAGTGATGTGGAAAATTCTTTTTCAGACTTTAGTTTGCTGAGTTTTGGCTTTAGTATTGAATCAGTCTTGTTTCATCCCTATGAGGGGCACATTTTTTCCAGTATGATATTCTTCCTTAGGACTCAGGACTATCTTTTCATAGTCTAAATCATGTGGATTTAAAACCTGTGACCAGCTTGACCTCTAATATGATCTCACTGAAGTCAGGAAAGCTCTTTCACGTGGTTCTTTTGACACTACTGTTTGGCCCAGTCAATCCCAATTACTCCCTCTCATAATCCACAAA